AAGAAGAAGAAGAAGAAGAAGAAGAAGAAGAAGAAGAAGAAGAAGAAGGAGAAGAAGAAGAAGAAGAAGAAGAGGAAGGAGAAGAAGAAGAAGAAAGGGGGAAGAAAGAGGAAGAAGAGGAAGAAAGGAATTTATTAGCAAGAGATGTGTTGTTTAAGCAAAGTTGCCCTTCTAAGGGGAGTGGAAGGGGTCTATCAGTTAATTTCCTAGTGTTTACTAACTAGGAAATTCCATGTTTCCTGGTTAAAGATTACATTTCTGGGGTGTTGACACTGTAGTTAGTTTAGTTATTAAGTCTTGGTTTACTGACTTGGGACCTTAACCTAAGTGATGCCATTTAGGCCTGTGGTTTTCTTTTTAACAGTGGAAACAACCCAAATGTGTGCAAATTGGTGAATAGATAAATGAAATGTGGTATACACATACAATGGGATATTATTTGGCAATAAAAAGAAATAAAGTAGCAAGATATGCTATAACATGAATGACCCTTGAAAACATTACCAGCCGTTGAATTGTGTACGTACATGGATGGATGGTATGGGAATTAGATTTTAAAAAGTTGCTTAAAAGATCACCCGACACGTGAGCAATGAGCCCAGGTGCATCCCAGCTGCTCTCCGAATCCATGGGACACCCTGAGTGGCAAGCACCCTGATGGTCCCTTCTTGAAATCCTGATGCCTGCAGTCATGAGCAAAAAGAAAGGCTTTTTGGGTGGCAATGGCTTCTGAAGCAATCTGCATCTGTGTTTTCTGGTGACCCCAAAGTAGATAGAGTGTGATTGGTTGGGAGGAGAGGTGTTTTGGGGGGAGGAGTGGAGACCTGAGGATGGGCCCAAGACTCTGGCTTGTTGGAGCCCCTTCCTCTTCAAATCTGTGGGTCCACATCTACCACAGCATTCAGCAACTCCCCCACTCCCTTTTATTTCCCAGGACCACCTTCTTTGAGAAGAAGTGGGGTCACAAATGGGCTCCTGTCCAGACCTGTGGAAGTCACAGAGAAGGGTGTGGGTGTCTCTCTGCTTTACATTGTGCAACTTCCTCTGGACACAGATACCAGGTAGAAGGTGAATCAACAGGGACAGCTAGAGAGAGTTCTTACCACAGGCCAGTTGTTTTCAAACAATTGATGTGTGGCCAAGAGGGGAAATGGATTCATTTTGGATGTGTTGTCTGCTAAAATTCTTGACTTACTTTGAATCAAGACAAAGGAGGAAATTGTCTGTTTCTTTTGGATTTAAAAAGAGTTTTCCAGAAGAGAGAATTTAGTCCTTTGCCAAATACCAAATATCTTCCAAATAACTTATTCTCTGTTCCCATTCATCTCTTGATTTTGCCTATATGTGCATGTGTGTGCGAGCACCAAAATGTGTGGCCAAATTAATTATTCTTTCCCATTTTGGTGTCTGTGTTTTATACCTGCTTAGAAAGTGCTCCTCAGGTTGAGCACACAATTTTGTCTCAAACATAGGAACCCTCAGCCAGGCAATCTCAGGTTTTACAGGCCCAAGAGTTTGACTTCCTATTTGGAGTTTTATGTATCTCAGGTAAGATCCTCTTTATGCTGATCTATATTTTGCTCTGGAAAGACAAATATTAATCCCCAGGTTTCTGAGTTCCCGGGAGCTCCCTGTTACAGCTAGGCTCTAACTGCAGAGTGAGATGGAGTCTGCTCCTCGGTGGAGCCTGGTTTGGGCCTAAGAATCGCTACCAGGAGAGGGAACCCCCACAAGGGAGAGGAAGGCAGAATGGGGAATGTTTACCTGGGACAAGGTTAACAATGGAGGTACATATGGCTAATGGGTCTGTGGGAATCTGCTCCATTCATTCATCCCACAGAGGTATATTATGCCAGCATTGTCATTGCCAAACGATGCTTTCTACTTGGTGTTTCTGGGGGCAGCTCTTGCTAGCCATAGGCATTACCTCCCCAAGTGCCTCTCAGTCCCAGATTCCCTGAGCCTGGCCATTTGGTGCCTCATCCTGCCTCTAGGACTATGGAGTCATATAACAGAACCCTGACAGAAATGACCATGGAGGTGCTTTCATTTCCAAGGAGTTCAGTCCTAAGCCCAGGAATTTAGAAAGCCAAGAGGTGTGAAACAAGCAAGATTTCTGCATTAGGGGTAGATACTGCTGGTCTTGCTGAGCCTGTGGGGCTCTGAGAGCTGAGGGACCTGTTAGAGGTACCCTGCCCTTGAACAGCATCAGAAGGGCTGGGCTTACCTCACAAAGGGCCCATAGATGTGACCACCTGGCCAGACAGTGTAGCCAGAGCGCAGAAGCATCCCTGACTCAGGCCTAACTAACACTCTGACCAGGTGCAGGGGCAAGAACTGAGTGTGCTGGGACAGAGAGTGGCCCACGAGGGGAGCTGGTCAAAGCTCAAGTCCTCAGAAGGAGAAAGATATCACCTGTGGGTAAGGACAGCCAGCTCAAGTCTCAGCAGGCAGGAGTGTGGTGAAGAACTTGGTTCTGAGGTGGGTCTGGGTAATAGCTGTACTGGGTGGGGAAGGACTATAATGCCAGGATGGCCTCCAAGTGTGCCCTGGGCAACACATTCAGACATTATGGAGTAGAAAGTCTCACAGGCCAAAGTTAGCTGCTCAAGCAAATCCCATGTATATCAAGTAAGTGCAAACCATCAAACCATTGGGCAAGAGGCTAGGTGGGGAAAGGAAGCAAGTTAACACACTTCAGGTATGGGGGCAAGCTGGGGAGACACAAAGGCCATGTTGCCCAGACCCTGGGCCTGTGATGCTCTTTGCTGCTTCAGTCTCCTTGCTGATGGGGTTAAGGGGCCCAGAGTGAGGGTTTGAGCAAAGCCTGTGTAACATGTCGGAAACACCCACTGGCCCTGAGGAGAGACACAGGTAAGTCTCCCTGGCACAGCAGGACATGTTGAGGATTTGGTTGGTGGTTCCTGGGGTGAGGACACATGGGGCCATGATGGCATCATCCCTGGTTGGCTGACATAAGACCTTATGAATATTCTGTGCTCCATGTATCTCATGTGTAGTTCGTGTCTGATGGATATCAGGTGTCCTTAGGTTCTGCTGCCACATTCCTTGCTCAACTTAGGCAAACTATACTTACTACTAGTCTGTGGTGAACACAACCTTTGGATTCTGCCTTTGTCTCTGTTGGGGAGGAAAAATTTCCTGTCCCCTTCAAGGACCTTCTAGCCAGACTAAGAATCAAATTGACATGCAACAGATTAACAGGAGAAAAATCAAATGTAATTTCATACATATGGGGAATCCACACAGACATGGAAATTCCAAAGACAGTCAGGCAAACTGTATATAAGTCATTCTGAACTAAGGAAAAGGAGAATGGGGTCTGGGACTTCAAAGGGAAGAAATGTAATCCTCAAGAAGAAAGAAAAAGAATTGGTATTTGGTAAACAAATACTTATTGGTCCCATGGAAACAATGAGACAAAGAGAGGACTTTGATCCAACAGGCCTTACTAGGTTCCCCCCTGTCTACCATAGCATGTTCACATCATAATGTAGTTGTCTGTGGTGATAGCTCTCTTCCTGGAGCTGGTCCTCTAAATTCTTTTTAGCTGGCTGGAGGAGGAGAGAAGGTAAAGAACTTTCCTTGAATCTGCTGGGTTTTGATTGTTTTTAAATCAAAATAATCTTCATGCCCAGGTGGCTCCCTTGATGTGGCCTGCCCCTGGCCCCTACACCTGTCAAGCTATTTGCTTCTTCATTATCTATACTTAACACATTAACTGTTGTGCCTCTGTCTCATGAACTACACATTCTGATTCACCTTCTATGGGAGAATGGAATCTCCTCAAGAGCAAATGCACATTACAAGCTGTGATCTACACTTACTCATCTGTTAGATTGAGGTAGGTCTGAAGGTGTGTTTCAGGCAATGAAGTAAAACTCTGACAGGTAGCCTGAGGCATTTACTTGACCTCTTTGTGAGACCTATTTTCCTCCTGTGTAAAAGGGACTACTCATTATGTGGCCCCAAGGGAGATAATTAAATAAGAGAAACATGTGATATCCTTATTATAGGGCCTGACAAGACTCAATAATACTCCATAAACAGATCCCAGTGTGATTGCTAATGAACCTGACTGGAAATGGGAGAGATGCTGGGGGCAGTTTTGAGGCCAAAGGCTCAGCTGAGGATTTTCATACATTTTCTTGAAGAGGAAACAAGATGAGTTTCGAGACCCATCTTCTTCCTGTGGCAGTGCTTCTGTTGCAGGTCCTTGTGCCTTCTTGTGCAATGAGACCAGATACAGAGAGACACTTACACTGGATGTGTGGGAACCTCTCAGGCAAAGAGGCAGGGGTCAGTTGGTAAGGAAGGGAGTGTGAGTGCACTCCCTCCAGAAAGATGGGAAAATGCTCTGAATTGTGACTGCCCAATTCTTACTCTACTTCTCTTTGAGGAAGGAGAAAGAGAAGACCATATGACACAAAACTAACAGAAGTTCTCCCCCTTTTGTCCCTAGCAGTGCCAGGAAGATCTGAAGGTGCAGAAGCAGCAGGGCCAGCCCAGTCCATGTCCTGCCCCAGTCCTGGAAGGATAGAAGGAACAAGACCTATACCCACTTGGCTGAGGTACCATGGCCAGACTCTGCCTGAGCCTGCTGTTCCTGGTGGCCACTATGACCCTTGTGTCCAGAGGTGTCCACACCGGGGGCAGGTCAAAGGTGGTGAGGAAGTTCCAAGACATCCCAGAAAGTTATGTCTATGTGCAGCAGGCCCTGTGGTTTGCCATGAAAGAGTATAATAAGACCAGCAAAGACAAGTACACCTTCAAGGTGGTAAAGGTCCTGAAATCCCAGGAGCAGGTTGGTGAGCATGTTCTCTTTTCCCTTTCTCTCCAAGATGCAGTCATGAGGGGGCCCATTATCCACAGAGGACACAGACCCCAGGGAGTGGAAAACAGCTGAGAGATGCCTTTAGCCAAATATTTATTAATTTTATTTTAGGGATTTTGGAGGAAAATTAGTTACACTTTATCTTTTATTATTCTATTATAAAATAGCCATTAAAATAACTTAAAATTTATTACAGTCATATCAGAAAGCATAGGTGAGGGTCTAAGAAGGGCTGTTGAGGGGGTCAAGTCTGGGACAATTTGGGCTGATATCATCAAATGAGTCATTATAGGTGTGAATTATAACACAGTGAAAAGGCAAAGAAAGTGCAAGTCCAGCTTTCACTGAAAAAAGGAAGGGAAGGCTCTTCTTTACAGAAAGATGGGGAATGGGGGCTACCCTGCAACGTTGGAGTGATATGCTGTATAGGGGCAGTCTTTGTGCTCCTCTTCCTCCTCCACTAGCCCTGTCTCCTCTCCACCCTCTGCCCTCCAGCCTTTGCAGTCCATCCCTCCAGGTCACCAGGAATTTGCTGAGGTTCCTGTTTTCTTAATGGGGTCAGGAGAGAAGGCTCATTTGGCAGCTTCATGTCCCCATGAGGCTGGGACATTTGGCCCCTTGGTCATCCTCCACTCTCAGTGGGCCTTGGCTTTCTCCTTTTCTTTTGTGTGATCCTGGTTATGTTGTTTGTGTTTCTTGGATAGTGGACACCTGGGGCCTAGATGTGTGTCATCACTGGGTGGCCAATTTAAAGCCTCATGAATATCAACTGCCCTGGGGGCTCATTTATATGTAGTAAACTAATTAAGAGTGAACTATTCCACTTTCATGGACTTGTCTTTATCTATGCTTTTTCAGTTCCAAAAATAGATGGTTCTGCTTTATTTAATCAAAAGTACACCGAATTCTCATGTCTCAAAAATTATACATCATTTTGTACTGTGTGCTAGTTTTTTCATGAATGCACATTTTATTTCTCAGCTCACTGTAAACTCTTGAATGCAGGTAAGAATTCAAAAGAATCAGGTAGAAACAGGTTCAAAAATAGTCTAGAACAGAGGTATTTAAAATTCCTTGAACTTCCATCTACATACCACTGGAAAACACACTAAAGAAAAAGGTAAGGAAGAATGAAACATTCCCTCCCCCCAAACAAAATTAACTCAAAACAAAACAAAAGCAAAAAGAAAAATACTTGGTGATAATTCAGATTAAATTTAGTAACACACACAGGCTCTATATAAAGAGAACAACTATATCTTATTGGTTGATTTAACTTAAAAGTACAAAGCTCTCTATCAGGAGCTGGACAAGAAATAAAAAAGGGATATTTTGTGACATGAAAATTACATAAAATTTAAATTTCCATGTCTATAAATAAAGTTTTATTAGAACATTGCCACCCGCATTATTTGAGTGCAGTCTAGGGCTACTTTTGTGCCATACTGACAAGATTGTGTGTTCTGAGCCTAAAATATTTACCCTCCAGTCCTTAAAGAAAAAGTTTGCAGCTACCTGCTTTAGTTCATAGTTAACTGAGACTCTGCTGCAGATTTTGTGCGAGGTGAATGATGGTAAAAATAAGCACCGTGGGTCCAATTATATGCTAATTTCTTTCAAGAAATACAGTGCAGTGCTATATTTATGTATTTTCTCTTCCTTATAATTTTCTTAATAAAATTTTCTTTTCTCTAGCTTACTTTATTTCAAGAATACGGTATATAATATATATGACACACAAAATATGTGTTAATTGGCTGTTTATGTTATTGGTAAAGCTTCTGGTCAAAAGTAGGCTATTAGTAGTTATGTTTTTGAGGAGTCATAAGTTCCACTTGGATTTTTGATTGTGCCTGTAAGCCCCACGTCGTTCAAGGGTCAACTGTATATACAGTCTACTTTGTGCCAGACCTGGTTGCTTTTCATATGCTCATTCAGATCTCACAACTCATTATGTAGGAACTGCTTTCTTCCTCTTTGAAAAGGAAATAGGCACAGAGAGGTTTAGTATTTTGTCCAGGGACACACAGCTAGTATGTAGAAGAGCCAAGATTTAAACCCAGGCTCTCTGTTTTGAATGAGCACATGTTACTGCCTGAGTGATATGGATGGAGTAAAGTGGTGGGACGTTGCAGCCAAAGGAAAGAGGTCGTGGGAGGTCAGGAGAGTCAGAAGCCTTGTCTGTGAAAGCTGTGAAGGGCTGCCTCAGCAGCCAGGGCCCCTATCCTCTTCCCTTTTCTGGGCAATTAGGGGTCAAGCTAGGGCTAGCGGTCAGTTGGTGGTTGTTGAGTATGATTCAGAGCAGTTTGTTTTTATGATAATTTTAACTTGGAAATATTACTCAAAGATAAAGCAGTGGTTCTCAAGTGGGCATGGATTTTGCTTGGCAGGAGACTTTTGGCAATACCTGGAAGGATTTTTGGTGATTGCAACCAGAGGGGGCCACTAACTGACACTTAGTGGGCAGAGGCTAGGACGCTGCTAAGCACGCTACAGTGCCCAGGATAGCCCTTACCACAAAGACTGATCCAGCCCCAAATGTCAATAGTGCTGAGGTTGAGAAACTTGTTATCCAGTCATAAAAAATGTTCTAGGAGTATGTCTGGAAGACATTGAGTTGAAAAATAGAAACGAAGACCCAATTTCTTGCATTTCCAATCTGACTCGGCATTTCCTGAGGGCACCCCCAGAAGCAGTTGGCTGTCCTTCCAGACACTTTATATACACTTACACACACAACTGAAAAATTTTAAAGTATATATGATATTCAAGAAACCGTCCTTAGAATTCTCCCAACCACTACCATTTTGTTCAATTGCCCAGGTAATTTCTCGAGAATGTCCAAAATGTTTACTATGTTTTCAAAATGATCTCTTACTCTTCTAGGGTCAGTTATTGTGTTTAACTTGGTCATTCTCTTTAATGCATTCTCTCCCTTAAGTTTTGTAAAATCTTACCTTGTTCTCATTTTTAAATAATAAAAGTCTCCATTTGCCATCATGCATCTCCATTTCCCCATAGGGCCCTCTGGAATACAAGGGCTGGTGGGGGGCTCTTCATGGGAGAGGAAGATGCCCTGAAGTCAGGGACTTGGGAGGGTGTATCATGTGGAATAAGGTTGGATTGCTAAAATTGCCAAGGAAGGAAGTTAGAAAAGCAATACCCTCCAAGCAAATTCCAGTTCTGGGATGTCTTCTTCTCCCAATATTGACTAGGTATGAAGATGTTATAGACTGCTGTTTATTTTCCAAGCTCCGATAAGCAAACCATTACCTTTCCCAGGAAAACATTCTTTGGGGAATAGTTTTCTTGCTTTATCTTGGGGACAGTTGTCATTATTTAACATTCAATACCATGATGAGAGATAGACAGACAAAGGGAGAGAGATCAAGGGAGGAATTCCTCCCCCTCCAGTTACCCCAAAATTTCTGGCAAGGAAACTATAGGAGGGAAGGAGGGTGGCGGGGAGACATTCTTTGCCCTAAGCAGTCAATGACATGTTTATTTATTAGAGATGACAATTGATATCATGTATTCATTTATGATATCTAATTTTTAATTTTTATTTTCTTAAGGATTTTATTTATTTTAAGAAAGAAAGAAAGAGAGAACATAAGTGAGGGGAAGGGGCAAAGGAAGAAGGGGAAGCAGACTCCCTGCTGAGCAGGGAGCCTGATGCAGGGCTCAATTCAGGGCTCAATCCCAAGACCCCAGGATCATGACCTGAGCCAAAGGCAGACACTTAACCGACTGAGTCACCCAGGTGCCCCTGTGATATCTAATTTTTAAATTACTTCTTGACAGGTCACAGAGAGTTTGGACTACTTTCTTGAAGTCAAAATTGCCCGAACAATGTGCAAGAAAATTTCAGGAGAAAATGAAAACTGCTTATTACAACAGGATCCCCAAATGCAAAAGGTATGGCCTCGGTCAGGTCTGTGTACCAGACAGAGAAAACCGATAGGACCAACTCTGCTAGTTTCCTTTTTATTTTTATTTATTTTTATTTTTTTATTATGTTATGTTAGTCACTGTACAATACATCATTAGTTTTTGATGTAGTGATCCACGATCCATTGTTTGCATATAACACCCAGTGCTCCATGCAGTACATGCCCTCCTTAATACCCATCACCAGGCTAACACCCCCCCCACCCCCCTCCCCTCTAAAACCCTGTTTGTTTCTCAGAGTCCATAGTCTCTCATGGTTCATCTCTCCCTCCTATTTTTCCCTCCCTTCATTTTTCCCTTCCTTCTCCTAATGCTAGTTTCCTTTTTAAACCATAGTCTGATCATATTCAGGACCAAGGACAGCCAGGTTCTAAACATAGAGCACTGTTTCTGTCAGTTTTTGCTGATACCCCTCACTCCTGCCAACACATACATAGACACTTAGTGGCTTAAAGCAACATCCATTCACTATTTCTCACTATTCTGCAAAGCTGGGCTGGGTTTGGCTGGGCAGATTTGTCTTGGTGATCTTTTCATAGAAGTTACTTCTAGTTTTTCTCTTTCATAGTTGAAGGTGCGTACACAAGTATGCATATGTCTGTGTCTTATGTATTTTCTTCACCTATTTGGTATATACCTAAAGCTGGCATGAGACATGGCTAAGCAAAAATAATGGCAGATTAGTGGTTCCTGAAAATTGCTCAGACATGTGCAAATAAAATACATCTTCATATTCTAATGAATAGTAGGCACCACAGCAGAACACCAAATACAAGTGGATGGCTACATCTAGAGAGTAAGCTATAAGTTACTGGAACTAGTTTTCAATTAAGTAACATTTTAAAAATTCTGGTAGATACTAAGAATGATATATCAAATACCCATATGCTTGATTTTATAACTGTTGTCATTTTATTACATTAATTTAAAATGCTTATTTCAACCAGTAAAATGTTAAATACACATTCCACTCCCCTCTCTCTAAGATAAACACTCAAATTGTTGAGAAGTGTTCCTACCCATTAAAAAAAATTAATCTGTGTCTGCAGAGTTTTGTGTGTTTTTCAAAATGTACATACATTTTGGAACTTCCTCTTGTTTTCCACTCAACAATATGTTTTGAGATTTATTATGTTGGTACAATCTGTTAGTATTTAATTATGCCAAATGATTTCTTGGGCCATTTAATGTGTATATAAATCAGGCAAAATTGTTTTTATTACTGCATATTAAGCTCTTATATGGCTGTATTATGTCATATTTAACCATCTTGCTATTTGTGGTCATCTTAAAATTTCACTTTTAACCATAATGTAGCAGTGACAGGGTGCATGCAGACTGAGCAGATTCGGGGCTCTCCTCTGGGGTGCCCTGGGGAGTGGGTCTACCATTTAGCCACATGTGCGGCTTCAGCGCTGGTGGGACCACCACACATGACTTGCAATCTCCGTTTTACTCTCCAAATTGGTTGAACCAGCACACCCTCCTTCCGTGGTGTGCACAGTTGTTCATTTTCCCTCAGCCCTTGGGGTTGAATCTTAAATGTTTTCATTCTGATGTATGTGAAAGGTGATCTCCCCACCATTTCACTTGGTTGCTCCCTGATTTCTAGTAAGGTTGAAATATTTTAATATCCCTAGTAATCATCCACGTTTTCACTTCCAGGCCTTGCTTTTTAATGTCTTTTTTTTTTTTTTCCCCTGGAGCAACCAGAGGGCCCCTGTCAGGAGCCACAGTCAAGTCACTGGAAACCCCTAACCTCAACTCCTCAGCTTCCCACTTCCTGTCTGTCTCCCCTTGGCCAAACTCAACTGCAAGCCAGAGGGTGCCCATTGATGAGATCTATAAAAGTCACAGGGCAGAACGCCTATTGACACAGACAGTGGAAGCTATAGAGCAAGTGTGCTCATTGGCATAGCCCATTGAAGTCATTGGTCTTTCAAGACACTCCAGGTAAAAATAGAAGGAATGCAGACATGGAGAAACACATGGAGAAAAGCCAGCATGGGGGCAGGGGGTGGAGACAGCAAGATCAACAGGAGTCTGTTAGGAGTCTAATGGACTAGCTCAAATGAGAGATGATGCTGTTTGGGTTGGTGGAGGTACTCAGTTCTGGATGTCTTTGAAAGGCTTGGTTGAAATTTGCTGATAGATTGGCCATGGAGAGTGAGAGGAGAAGAGCTGAGGATGACTTCAAGGTTTCTGGGGTTTTGAGGCAGTTCTTTCTCTTGGTTTTCTCTTATGCTTTCATCTTCTACATAGAGCATCTGGCATTCAGTAGACTTTGTCACCTTGATTGCATCCACTTCTTATCACGAGGAGAATCTTCTCTGTCCCTGTCCTTGCATGGCGTCCCTTCCCATTTCAGAGCTCCTATAGATTTGACCTTATCTGCTTTCTTTAGTTATTTATTGGGATTTAGAAAAGAAGAAAAGGCAAACATCTGAGCTCCTTGGAATATAAATTTAAAACTTGATATGATTTTAAATAGTTATTAGCCTTATTCATTTCGTGTGGAAAATTTAGAACTTTCAAAAGTCACTTAAAATCAACTATAAATACCCTTATGTAAAGTTTACCACTGTCAATATATCGTTATTTATACTAGCTTTTCTATATTTTATATTTGTATTTTTATGTAGTTGGGATCATACTGTATACTGTTCTATAACCTAGATTTTCATTTAATAATAAAGTGTAAGGATTTCTAAAATTGTAAAATTATTTGAGAGCATTATATAGTGAAACTGTGATTTCATTTACTTGTGTTCCACATTTTACTTAACCGATCCCTGAGAATTGGTTAAGTTTTCCTAACTTTTAGCTATTATGAACAGTGCTTTAATAAATATTCTTCTTTATTTCTATTTGTGTGATTTTTGTTTCCTTGTAGGCAAAGTTCCTGGAAGTTGAATTACTCAGTAGTTTTTCACTTCTTAAAGATTTTTAATATATGTCCTCTAGGATTGATCCTGATAATTGGGTTTTTAATTCCTCTGTTTCCTGATTTTTTCCTGTCTACTTTGGCTGATCCAGAAGTTAAGCAATTAGTTGACTCTCTGATAAGCCCACTCCCTCCCCTTCCTACTACTGCCAAGAAACAGCTGAACCCGTCCCAGATGCCCCTCCAGCCAGGATGAATATCTGGACTGGCCTTAGTTCTCCAATGGCCTGTCTGGATTGCTGGTAGCTTGGTCTTATTTTCTTCCTCAAGCTGATCCCTCAGTATTTGTATCTTATACAACTTCAATTCTGTTTGATGTTGCCATTCATGTTTCCATTGATGTAGTAGAGATATTCCTCATTTATATTTTTATTCTAACTGAATAACAATTTTAGGAGTGAGAGGAGGGATACAAGTGAACTTATCCCACACCAGCAGCCTGAAACTCTCGCTCATTCTGCATCATTCTGCAGGCCCTGGGAAAGAGCTCTATGTGTCCCCTCAGTTCCCTGGCTACAAATTTTGCTTCTTGTCTCTGGCCAGACCTTGACCTGCCCCACCAAGACATGCAGGACTCTGTACTATTCCTGCCTCTTCTGGGAAGGACTCACTGGGCCCTTCAGGCAGCATGCAGTCTCAGTAGGCTGCAGGCGAGTCAGCGTGGCTGGATGAGGGCCAGAGCTGGAGATGAGGATTTCTGAGAATAACCAGTTTCTGGGCTCCTGCTATCCATGATGGCTTCAGATCACAAAGAGGTGAATTGGCAAGGGTCCATCCTGGTGAGTGAGGCTGGCTCCCCTGCCATCCGGTCTCAGGTCTAACAGTGCCAGGGACTGCAAGGGCAAGACTGGCTCAGGCTGCCTTTAGCCACCCTGAAACCAAATCCCAGCACCCAGAAATAGAAACTTCTGTTTGTTTTTCATTTTTCTTTCTTACAAACTGATTATTCTTTTTGTCTCTTTTAGATGTTTCTTTGCACATTTATTGTTGCAACCAAACCTTGGGAATTTGAGTTCACTATGCTGAAGAAACAATGCGAAGAGGTCTAATTATCTTCTAGCATGTTCGACTGTTTTCACTTCCATTTTAAAGAAGCAAATACACCTGCAAACCATTTAAATAAGCTGACCCACTGACTTCATTTCTGTGGCCTTTTTGCTTTGTTGTGTGCCCTTCAGGGGCTGAAACTGAGAACATGATGCCTTTTTACAGTGTTGGTCAGCCTCTTCTAGGTGACTCACTCATCTACTAGCAGGACAATCTGCTACCAGTAGATGGAAGAGAGTGTAAACCTGTTTCCTTATCTCATTGAACTCTGAGCACAAATTACTTTTCACTGGCAGCTGTTTCTGGAGAACTAACTGGAGGACGCAGTCCTCAACTGTTTCGAACTGATGGGTTGTTTCTGCAAGATTCTGAGGGGTCTGGCTGCCTTGAGAGTGTTCCTTCCATGGATTTCCACAGAAATCTCCCTGCCTAGGACTCCAGGGAAGACACAGCCCATTGGCTTAGAAACAGTTTCAGACAACTGATCCAACTGGAAGATAGTTGGATTATTTGTAGATTTGCAGTGTACTTTTGGTTTTGAAATGAAGCAGAAACAATGTAAGGGTGATTGATGGCTCATGGATAGTAGGCTGCTTTGTGCATGAACGTGTGTGCGTGTGTGCACTGTGGGATTTATTAGTTATCTAATGCTGCATGACTAATCACTCTGCCCTTAATGGCTTAAGCAATTTAAATCTCTTATTGTGTCTGTGGGTCAGGGATCTGAGGGTGGCTTTGTGGGGTGGTTCCAGATGTCATTGTCTGTTGAGGTTACACTCAGACGTTGACTACATTGCCCTCATCTGAGGGTTAGTTTGGCTCTGGAGAATCCACTTCCCAGGTGGCTCATACTTATGACTGCAAGTTGGTGTTGGCCATTGACAGGAGATCTCTGTTCTCCATGTGGGCCTCTCCACAGAGCTGCTGGGTGCTTGGTATGGCTTCCTCCAGATAGAATGTTCTGAGAGACTGAGATGGAAGCCACACTGCCCTTTGTGACTTAGCTTCGGATGTCAGACACCATCACCTCTTCCTTGTGTTAATCATCCCCCAGATTAGCTCTGGCTCAGTGTGGGAGGGGACTGTACAAGAGTATGATGACCAGGAGATGAGGATCAGTGGATGCCATCTTGGAGGCTGGCTACCACTGTGTGTGCGCACATGTGCATATGTGTTTGTGTGTACGTGTATGTGTGCATGTGTGGAGAGGTGGGATATGATGATGAAGATGGTTAACATGACCAGAAAGAGGCATTTTCTGAAACCTGGATATGGAAGTTACAGCACTGGTGTACAGGTCAAGTCCAGCCAGGGTAGTGTCAACAGTAACACAGGAACAGGGGCATGCATGCCATCTTCGACATGTGAGAGACGGTAAAGCTCAGGGGTCACCTGGCTGACAAGGAAACACTCCCTGTATCTGAGCCTCGCTGCCTGAAAGCTTTCTCTCCACCTATGGGACGTGGCTAGAGTGCTGGGGAGGGAACGCCCCAGCCTCCAGACCCTTGGCCAGTAACATTGAGGCGTGTCCTATCTAGTTTCTGAGATGTGCCCAGCAAGACAGAGCCCTAACCTCCCACATTGTTAGTCTGCTCACTCTGACATGCTGCTTCCCACTCTTACTTCCTCACTGCCCTTCTGGTATTTTCTATAATCCCCTCCAAATAAACCACTTGCACTTGAATTATTGTCTCAAGCTGAGCTTCTGGAGGAAGCAACCTCATACTGGAGCCCAGGTCTACTGTGAAGGGCAGCCTGGGACCACCTGGGGCATACCTGGGGAAGGTCAGGCAACAGGACACACTTGCATTTTCTCACCTCAGCCAGCAACCATGTTCTGGGGAAGGCATGCCCAGAACCTCCCTCCTCCATGTGGTCATGGAGTTCTAGGAACAGAGGCAGACCAGTTCTTGTCACATTGCTCCCCCACCTTGGGATGGGGATCCCTATGTGAATGGTACCTGTGACTTTCACTTCTCTGCCCACCTCTGCCCTTCAGCCCCCAACCACTGCCAGGGCATTTGCTCTCTTCCTCTATAGCTGGAGTTGGCCAGCCCCATCTTGTCCCATGAGCAGCCCCTAGAGTAGGACTTTCTCCTCTGAACCCTGACAATATGGTTCCATGCCTGGAGGGACCTAACACATTGACACACCCTAGGCTGGTTGTTTCCATCTTATCCATAATAGTTGCAAGCACTTGAGGGAAACTAGACTTTACTGACCACACCCAAGGTCAGCTGTCTAGTATTGGAGGGATATTGCTTTGGGTTTAACTCTCCAAAACTGTCTGGGCCCTTCTGATGCACTGAGTTAGTCAGAATGAAGAATCAGTATCAAAATAGTTATATTGACTAATGAGATTTCTGAGGGTTTTTTTTTTTTTTTTAGATTTTACGTATTTATTAGGGGGGAGAGAGAGAGTGAGCATGCATGAGCAGGGGGGAGGGGCAGAGGGAGAAGGAGAAGCAGGCTCCCTGCTGAGCAGGGAGCCCGACGTGGGGCTGGATCCCAGGACCCTAAGATCATGACCTGACCCAAAGGCAGATGCTTAACCACGGATGCTTAACTGACTGAGCCACCCAGGGGCTCTGGATTTCTGAGTTTTTATTTGCACACAGTTGTCAGTGTCATATGTGAGCCTGAAGAGAACTCTGAGGCACCTTCAGTATTGGCCCATTCTCTTCCAAAGTTCAAAGCCTCATTAAGGCCACGTCTGTAGCCTGGGCCACCTGGGGGACCAGCTGACTATGAGAATTTATCCTGCTTCCACCCTCCTCTGCAGAAATTGTGCTTTTTAGAAGATACACGGATGACAGAAGTATTGGCTTTGTCACCATGTCCTCATTTTCCCTTTGATCATGAGAATTTTGAAAAAAAGAGAGGCTCAAAAATGTAGCTTCCAAGCAAGACATACTCCCTTACTGGGCTACACTAGGGCCTGGGAGAAATCCAGGTCTGCATCCCACATCAGGTATTGGGATCCGAGGGGAGTTGGAGCATCAGGGACTGATGTCATTGTCTGTTGAGGTTACACTCAGACGTTGACTACACTGCCCTCGTCTGAGGGTTAATTTGGCTCTGGAGAATCCACTTCCCAGGTGGCTCACACTTATGACTGCAAGTTGGTGTTGGCCATTGACAGGAGATCTCTGTTCTCCATGTGGGCCTCTCCACAGAGCTGCTGGGTGCTTGGTATGGCTTCCTCCAGATAGAATGTTCTGAGAGACTAAGATGGAAGCCACACTGCCCTTTGTGACTTAGCTTCAGATGTCAGACACCATCACCTCTTCCTTGTGTTAATCGTCCCCCAGGTTAGCTCTGGCTCAGTGTGGGAGGGGACTGTACAAGAGTATGATGACCAGGAGATGAGGATCAGTGGATGCCATCTTGGAGGCTGGCTACCACTGATGGGACCACTCTGAAATGTGTGGGGTCATGCTGAGGCTCATTCACAGGGCAAAGACTGCAGGCTCCTGGGGTAGCTCTCCGTGTACGTCACCTACCAGCTCTGACTACCCCAGGTCCCAGACCCCTTCCTCCTTCCTCTGGCCTCCATGGGAGAGGCCTGGGCATCCATCAAGGCTGTCCCAAGTTTTCCACTTTGTTGTTACTTTGTGTTCAGTCCTGTATTTATTGAACCCAGGCTATATCGTGACTCTGACACCTTGGGAAATTTGAGGGAAGTGTCCACTGTCTCCTGACAGATGAGGAAGTGGCTGCAGAGCAGAACATGGTAGAGCATTTGATAACCAGCATAGTTATTTTCCCAGTTTCAGGCCTTGACCCAGAGACTGAGGCTAACAGACCAGTACTAGGGCAGCAGAGTCAACACAAGATTCACATTTTAGGGGAAGAGTGAGCTCTCCTGAGATTGAGCCACTAGCTGGGCCTCTTTTCCTCTCTGGAAATTGGGACCTGGCCAGGTAGATGGTCTGTGTTTCTAGCAACCCCCTGCTTTTGCCTCTGCCTCTGGCAGAGCTTTGCCCAGGGACCTACCTCAGGGTGACACTGAGTATCCAGAAACCTGCTTTCCTGTTCCTTCAACAACAAACTCCAGAAAAGAAGCAGGCAGGACCACCCCAAGCCAACAAGGATGGACAGGGCAAGGGAGAAGGGCTTTCCCACAAGAACTGGTCCCTCAGTCTTACACCTGTTACAAAACTGGAGCACCTGAAACTTGTACTCATCCTCAGGGCCCTGGGGACACAGTGGGAACTGGGACAAAACCCCACTTTCTTTTTCTCCTTTTTTTATTTTTTAAAGATTTTATTTATTTATTTGTGTGTGGGTGGGGGAGAGAGAGAAATATAACAAGCAGGGGGAGCTGCAGGCAGAGGGAGAAGCAGGTTCCCCACTGAGCAGGGAGCCCAAAATGGGGCTTGATCCTGGGACCCTGGGATCTGGGACCCTGGGACCTGAGCCAAAAGCAGACACTTAACCGACTGAGCCACCCAGGTGCCCCTAAAACCCCAACTTTCTGTAGATTTCCATGGGAAGGGGGAGGGGTGGAACCATTAACAAATCCCCACAAGTATGATCTGAGGCAGGATTTACTGAGTCCTTACCAGGTGCCATGATTTGATACCTGCCTTGTGGGCTCTGCTTCCCCAGCCCCAGGAAGTAAGGTGAGCCCACAAAAGGGCCAGGAAAGGTCCCCCCACCATTGGGCTGAACACACAGGAGACCCTTTCCTGGAGCTACCTGGTGGGACTTCAGTAGAATTAGTGGGGTTGACTATGGAAAACATGCTGGGATCACAGTGGATAGAGAGCCCCCTTTATGCTTCCTTCTGCCGATTGAGGCACAACTCAGGACAGACCAGTGTGGGAGTAGACAGGAAGGTGGTTGGTGGGAGAGTCTTCAGAAATCTCTTGAAGTCTGGGACCAGGCAGGATGGCTGTGGGACAAGAGCACAGCTATGTCCATGCTTAGTGATGCTCGGCTGGCAGGGAGGATACCCACCCCTAGGGTCTCCCCATGGCTCTGCCTGGAATCCTGGGAAGCCCATCCAGGTCTCTATGGAGGATGAGCCCTAAAGATATCTAACACCACATGTCTGCTGTTAAGTCCCCAAGGAGACCCTGAGATGCAAATTGGGGGGTGCAGGTGGTTCATTTGGGAGATGGTCACAGAGGCACAGAGGGGAAGGGAGACAGAGGAGGGAGAAAGTCAATGCGGCTGTTGTTATGGGCCACTGAGCAGCCATGGGTTTTGTCCTACTGGAATGTATGAGAACCCTGTGGATCTTCCCTCTGACAACCTCTGTGGAGCTGGGAGCCTGTCGCCATCCTACCTGGGGTTGGAGTGTTGTCCTTGAGTCCTACCTCTCTCCAATGAGGTGTGCTGACTCTGCAGATGGAGTGCCACTTGCACAGAGAAAGCCCTGAGCAGAACTTGGGGGAGATGCAGATCTTGAGGAGGAATGGGAAGCGTTAGGTACTGGGTGGTCCAACTACATGGACACTGGAGGGATGGCTGGTTGGAAGAAGGGAACCATGGCCCCAGGAACAAGCACTGACCCTGCCTGTATGTGTAAATATAGTCTGACTGGAACACAACACTCTTATTTGTATTAGTATTGTCTATGGTACTTTCAAGGCAACATTAGGGAGTTGAGAACAGGCCATATGGCCTGAAAAGGCCAAAATAGTTACATTTACTTACAGAAAAATTTTGCCACGTCCTCTTTTAGAAGATTCCCAAGTCCTCTTTTAGAAGATTCCCAAGACAAGGGCCACATGTGTCCTGAGGGCCTGAGGGCTTGTCTGGGTCTATCTTGCATTCTGTGTACCCTGCTGGGTCATGGTCATTGTACCTCTGTGAGCCCAGAAAGAGAAGCACCTGGGCTTCCAGGTTGGGCCGCCTGGAAGATGACCCCAGAAGTCTGAGAGGGAAGAGAACCCATCCTGGGCCCACCTGACTTCCCTATTAGGATGAGTCCTTCACTTACCCAGCCCCTCTGTCTGGAACCAATGCTACACAAAGCTTCTTGAAATGCTAATGTTTAGTGATCGATTCTACAGGATGGAAATGGACAATGAAGAATTTCCATAATGCCTGGGAGTGAGACCCAGACACTTGCAAGAGAACAAACAGAGCCTGGTGTTGCACAGCCACTGAAGAGACACCTATAGAGAAACAGTGGATCCAGGAGAACAGTCAGAGCCAGGCAAGGTATGGTATCATTCGGTGGAAGCCCTCCAAGCAGGTCTTGTACAGGAGATAGAAGGGTGTTCCCCAGGGCACAGTACTAATGGTGAAGAAGCAGTTGAAAGTCTGAGGGGATTAGCACAGGGATGGAGGGTGGCTGGAGAGTAGTGGGAAACAATCCAACTCTGAACACAGCACACATCCCAACCACCCATCCTGGGCTAAGCACCTGGGGATGCAGGCTGTGGCCCTCAGGTGCAGCTCCACCTGAATCCTCCTTGTTCTGGACCTGGGACCTTGTCCTGACCTCAGGGGCTTCTGTGCCAATTCCTCATCCTTAGCCCTGTGGTTTCCAGGGCAACACTTAGGCTGACCCAGTGTGACCCATGCCCTAGTACAGCATTGGGGTGCTTTCTCCCATGGGGTGCTATCTCACTCAGAGGAACCCCTCACCCTAGGTGGAGTGGCCCAGAGTTGGGGTTCACCTTGACCTTTTTCCCTGGAGCAACAGCTTATAAATCAGTGGGACCCAGGTCAGGGCATGAGAGGGAGGGCAGTGGGCTGCTCCTCAACCCTTATAACCTCAGACCCTCAACAGAGCCAACAAAACCTCAAAAGAGCCACAGGGGCAAAGGTGATGTTGTCCACCCCAACATGCTCCTTCTCCTTAATGCCAGGAAGAGAGGTGGATAAAGCTCAGAGAAGGGGCATCCTGTCTCAGCCTCAGGAGACCTGGACCCTCATGGTCAGGAGCAATCTGATACTGGTGTGGCCTGGGGGCCAGGCAGTTGGAATGAGGTGAGTGGGCAGAGTTAGTTCCCAGATTGACCAGGGGCTACAATGCACCCTGAGGATGGCCTGTCCCTGTCTGGCTGGGCTCCTACTGCAGCACCAGCAGTGAGCAAGTTAGGGCCTGCAGTTCCCTCACTCGTCTGTGTCCCTAGGAATGGCACTGTCATCTGCTTCACCTCCATGTCTGTCCCAAGCTGCATCCTCAGCTCTGTGACCTGAGGGATCTGCTGTGTGTCTTACATTGTTCAGCTCTGAGCTTTCTTGAAAGGGACAGTTGTCAATGTCTTCATCAAATTTCCCATGTTCGGTTCTGCGAAGCTCCAGCTCCATGGAGAACGCCAGGTCGTCTTCTATCTGTGGTACATGGAGACATTACAGTGGGAACACCTGTCTTGGTTCCATTAAGAGCTGCTAGTGTAGATCCATGCAGTGTAGGGAGAGTCCCAAACACTCCTCCCCATAGGGAGCTGGACCTGGAACAGCTTGCTGGGGGTAAAGCCAAGCTTGGGGAATTCAAGCAAAGAGGCCCTCATTTGCTGTGAGACCCAGGGTAGATGCAGGCGGGGGCACACATCATTCATACATCACATCCTAAAGCCCCAAGTCCACAAATGCCCCAGGGAGACCCAGCCTGACTTCCAGCATGCTTCTGAAGCTACAACAGCACTCCCCGGGGTTAGGTGCTGAGTGCTTAGGAAGGTATTTGCTCTGCAAAATTTTGCTGAGTAATGTCAGCCCCAGAGTGGGAGACTCTTCTATAGCCCCATTGTGACACCTTTCACCTGCCTGAGAACAGGAAGATGCCCCGCAGTGCTGCTGGAACACTCACATGTGCACACATGCACACACACAATGATACCTCTTGTCCTACTACAAAGTGCCTTCTAAAATTTTTTGTACTCTTCTCCACTCCATTCTACTTCATTCCATCCATACCCCTACTCCACTCTCCACTACTCCACCCTAAACTCAGTGTGAGTGCATATCTAGGGAGCCCAGAGCAAAGGTCCAGCCTGAGAGAGCTTAGGCAGCAGAACCAGATGGGACCTGGCCCGGCAGTGTTCACAGAGGCTGGAGTTCCATGCAGGGTGGAGCTCCCACTGTCCTTTCCTCAGGCTCTCAGGGCAGAGGTCCAAAGGCAGAGAGGAATGCCCTGGGCCCCCAACACAAGCACACTCACACATACATACTAGGACATACATACACACACTCACACACATACACATGCTCACTGACACACTCACACTCACACCCACACCTACACACACAGACACATTCACATTAACACATAAAACACGTGTGCTTACACATGTGCTCACACTTTCACAATACTATACATGCTCACTGACACACACATTCACCTACACCCACACCCACTCACAGACACACACTCACTCCAAACCTCATACTTACAATATACACTCTCACACTCACTGATACACTCAAACACACTCATACACACACTCATTCATGGACATATACCCACTCATAACTACTCATACTCACCTTTACACACACACCTATACACACACACACACACACACACTTACACACACCTACCTATACACACATGACTAGACCCGCTCCTGATGTAGCCCATGTGAAAACAGCATTCCTGGATGCATTCTGTAGACACTCCCATTACAAGGACAATGCTCTGGAAAGGTGTAGAGTAACATCTATTCCCTTAGGTGGAGACTGTAGGGAGGATACCAGAGAAGAAGCTCTGCTCCGGATGAGGAAGAATCCTCACTCCCCGAATTCTCAAGCCACCTCTCTCTATGTCTGTTCCTCTGTTTGCTAATGATCTTTTTGTATTTGTTTTCTTAGAATATTTCCCCAGCTGATCTCTTCTTTGGGCCTTTTCTTACTCAGGATCTTTATCACCTCATAGTCCAGATTTTGAGGTATTAGTCATTAAATAATGTCATAAAATGATGAAGATTGAAAATATGTCCTACATGTGAATGGACCCTGACTAAGGTGTTTAATTTCCAAATTATTTCTTTTATAAAACTAACACTAACTGGACAGTTGTATTTTCACTGTATTTTATGGACTTCAGATGGTGAACAAGATCCCTGGCCTTGACTATAGCAAGTGCAGGTCATTATGTCAAAAAATGTGGTTACCTACCTGGTCCTTCCAGGAATTCAGGATGCGCACCAATCTGTAGGCCTTCATATCCTTGCTCTGCAGGTTGAATATGTGTAAGGCATATTCCACAGTGGCAGGGAAATGACTTTCCGTGTCACTGTCTTTCTCCTCTTGGGAATTCCATCTGTGAGTAACCAGGAGCTGGAAACCTAAGAGAAGCAGGAGCATGGCCCAGGGCAGGGCCCACCTGCACTGCCAATGTGTCATGATTGCAGGGGTCTGGGCACACATGGCCTTTGCCCTTCCCAGCTCAGGCTCCTACCCAAGTATCCTTTGGGCATTGTTCCAATTCACTGGCTCCAAAATAACTCTTGAGTCCAGGCCTCCTCTCTGTTATTACACTCTGTTCTTTCAATCTGTTACTCTGCCTTCTCCCTCCAAATCTGCAAAATGTGCCTGCACTCCAAGGGAGAGGACCAGTACCAGGCAGTGTGGGTTGGTAAGAACCAGCAATGTGTGGGAGGGGTCCCCTGTAGCTGAGTCCCAGCCACAACCCCTCCATCACCGCCCCACTGGTGAGATATATCATTTGGAGGCCCCAGTATCAGAGGCTAAAACAAGGACACAAGACTAAGAGGTAGAAGTGGAAAGTGACTCCAGGACACAACAGTAGGGTGAGGGCCACTGAGATAAGAACAGAGCTGAAAAGGATGAATTGCCAAGAGTCAGCCTTGTGGGACATGGAAAGCAACCTCCCTAGAGAAAATGCATATGCATCAGAAGGACCAGAGGTCTTGAAGACTTGACAGGTCCAGGTGACTCTGTCCCTCTTGGGTCGCAGCCCCCTTGAGTAGTGGAGCGGACTAAGTTCACTGACTCTTGGGATGATATCATGTTAGGAGAGTACAGGGGTGGGAGCCCAGGGTTGGGAGGGGGACTGTCCAGTGATGCACACAGGGACCTGTCTCAGCTGCCTAAAGTCCCTGCCTTGTGTGGGAGCCTCAGTATTATCCTCCCACATTCCTGAAGAAAATAAGAATACCTCCATTACATAGAAACATATATGGCAGCATAAAGCTATAGGATAATTTTGAAGGGGGAAAATAACACCAAGTGACCTGTTTCAAGGCTAGAGGGGCTTCCAGGATGGGTGAACAGGTACAGAGCATTTTTGGAAAGGGGAGTGATTGAGATTGGGACTTATCAGAAGATAAAGCAATTGTTTAGTGTCTGGAGAAGCCAATGTAGAGAGAATCATCATAAATTTAAGAATTGAAAACAATTTTTAAGAACATTTACATTGGACATTTATATAATGTGAATTCAAAATTCTTAAGTGAAACAATATAGAAGAAGCAATTTAATACCTGGAAACTTTGCTTGCAAAGAAGGAATAATCAGGCACAAAAATAAATACATAGAAAAGAAATACACAATACAAGACTTATCACAATAACTGAAAATAGAAAAACATGAATCAATCAATTCTTGGGCATTGATTAAGGGTGACAATGAGTTTTGAGAGGCCCCATTCCTGGGAAGGACACCAGCTCTGAGGACCTTTGTGCAGTGAGGACAGGCTGCCAGCTTCAAAGCAGCCTTCTCTCTGTCTATAGGGCCATCTGGTCACTGATGCCTGGGGGTCTGCAAACCCTACACCAGGCATGGAGTTCTGACCCCTTCCCTGATCCAGTGTGACCCCCACACACCATCCCCAACCCCAGACCTTGCCTTACACTTGAGTGACTTCTCCTGGTGATTTAGCTGCATCCCCCACCCCCACCTTCAGGGACTCACTCTGAACTGTGCTCCTCAACATGTGGTCCAGAGACTAGGACCATCAGCATCCCCTGGGAGCAGGTGAAGTCCCTGGGAGGAGGTGAAGATGCAAACTTTCCAGGCCTGCCTGACTGACTGGGTCAGAATTCTGGCTGGGGAAAGGCCCAGGGCTCTGGGTGTCCACAGGCCTTTCAGGGCATTCTGGTCCCCCTGAGTTCACAAGTAGTGGCAGACAAATGCTGAAGCCTTTCACAAGCACAGAGCTGAAGCCTCGTTTGGAAAGATGTGCTCTTTAGTCCTTCCAGAGCCCCATCTGCTGCTCTAGATGGAGGCTGTGAGGGCCCCTCTCTAGAACCCAGACTCTGCACACAGGAATTGTGTCCACTGAGCCTTGAGGACCTTCACCACGAGAGGGCACTGATGCTCACCTAATGGTCACAACTCAGCCATCCCTGGGAGCTCACTGGCTTTGTTCTGTGTCTGTTTCTCCCTCACTCCACCCTCTCTCTTCTAGAACAAACTCCTACAAAGGGATCTATAGGCCCAGTGTGTGTCAAGGCTCACCCCTGCTGCAACACCTTTGGAGAGCATGTGCTTACATCATCCAGCCAGGCCCCAGGCTGAGCACATGGCAGCACATCCAGGGGCCAAGAAGTGCAAAGGGAGATGCAATGAGCTCAGCTGGAAGCTTCTGGTTCCAGGACCCTGAATTCTCCTGGCCTGGCATCAGCCCAGGAACCAGTGAGCCTTCTCTGCTCTACTACTCAAGGGGGGCTGGGGAGCTGAGGGGGACACGGACACTTGTAGTCATCAAGGCCTCAGTGCTTCTTTCTTCCAAAGAAACCCATTTTCTCTGTGCAGGTTGCCTCTGTCTCCCCCAGATTTGGCTCTTGATCACTTGTCCTTTTTGGCTCTGTCCTTATCTCAGTGGCCCTCCCCCTACTGCTATGTCCTGGGGTCACCTTCCACTTCTACCACTTGCTCTTGTGTCCTTGTTTCAGCCTCTGATTCCGGGGCATCCAAATAATATCTCTGCCCAGCGAGGAGCTGAGAGGGATGTTGTGGCAGGGACTCAGCTACAGGGGACCCCTCCCTCCCATTGCTGGTTCTTTCCAACCCACCCTGCCTGGGCTTGTTCCTGTCTCTGGATAGGAGGCAATTATGCAGCTTGGAATGGGGAGGCAGGGTGACGTGTGGGAAGGGAGTATGATAGCAGGGAGGATATCCAGAGGAGGAGTTGTTCTGAAACTATTATACTGGACCAATGCCCAGGGAGGCTTGGAGGGAGCTTGAGCTAGAAGGGCAAAGCCCCTGGGTTCCCAGATATCCATAGTCATGCCACACTGGCAGGGTGAGCAGCCTCTGCCCTGGGCCTTGCTTCTGCTTCTCTTAGGTTCCCAGTTCTGGGTGACTCATGGGTCAAGATTCGAAGAGGAAGCAGAGAGTGATAACCAAAAAGCCATGCAGAGCTACTTCCTTGCTACTGTGGAGTATGCCTTACACATATTCAACTTGCAGAGCAATGACACGAAGGCCTACAGGCTGGTGCGCATCCTGAATTCCAGGAGGGAGCTGGTAGGTACCACACCCTGGCCTAATAATCTGCACTTGCTATGAAGTCAGGGTCAGGAGTGGGGGGGTCCTCTCTAGGGATCTTGTTCTGAAGTCCATAAAATAGAGCAAAAATACAAACTATACAGTTAGTTTCAGTTTTATGAAAGAATTTGAAATTTTAAATACCCAGGTCAATGTCTACTGCAGGTAGGATGTTCTAATTTTCATCATTTGATGAAGTTACTTATTGATGATCAAAATACAGACTATGAGATGCTAAAGATCCTGAATAAGGAAAAGAACAAGACAGAAAGGAGGAGGAGGAGCTAGATTGAGAAAATGTCAGAGGAGAGGGTTTGAGGAAATAATCTAGTAAAACAAATGCAAACAGAAACAGAGAACAGATACCGAGAGAAAGGGAGGGAGAAGGGCCTGAGGATCAGGGCAGTAAGGATTCTCCCTCATCCAGAGCAGCCTCTGTGACCTCCGGGCCTCTTCTCTGGGCTCCTCCCTGTGGTCTCCACCTATGGGGATGGATGCTATTCTATACTCTTCCCAGACCATGGTTCTCAATCCTAGGGCAGTGTCCTTGTAATGGAGTGTCTACAGATTGCAGCTAGGAAGGTTGTTTTCATGTGGGCTGCCGCAGGAGCATGTATGGTCATGTGTGTATGTGTGTCAGGTGTAGGTGTGGGTGTGAGTGTTTTAGTGAGTATGTGAGAGTGTGAATATGGGTAAGTATGAGTTTTTGAGTGAGTGTGTGTGTCCCTTTGTGTGACTGTGTGTGTAGGTGTGGGTGTGAGTAGCATGAGTGTGTCACTGAGTGTGTGTATTATGTGTGTGTAAGCATGTGTGTGTGTGTACACATGTTAGGGCCCAGGACATTCCTCTCTCCCTCTGGCCCTTTGCTCCGAGAGCCTGAGGGAAGGACAGTGGGAGCTCCACCCTGCACAGAGCTCCAGCCTCCTGCTGTGCCAGGTCCCGTCTGGTTCTGCTACCGGAGCTCTTGCAGATTGGACTTCTGGGATCCCTAGATCTGCACTCACATTGAGTTAGGGTATTGGGAGTAATTAAGTGCGGAGTGGGGGGTGAGTAAGGAATGGAAAGAATTGAGCAGAGAAGAGTTAAAAGGAATACAGAAAATTCCAGCTTCACTTTGTAATAGGGCAAGAGGTATCTGGAAGCCATAGTTGGGGGAAATAAGGGTTGTGTGTGAAAGTGGGCACTCTCGGGCTCACACGAGTGTTCACAGCACTGCAGATGTATTTCCTGTTGTCAAGCAAGTGAAAGTTGTGAGGCTGGAGTGGTACATGAGTCTCCTACTCTGGAGCTGACATTACTCAGCAGAATCTTGCAGAGCCAACACCCTCCCAGGCACCTGACCCCTAGAGTGTTGTTGTAGCTTCAGAAGCATGCTAGAAGTCAGGCTGGGTCTCCCTGGAGCATCTGGGGACATGGGGATGCAGGGTGCGATGTATAAATGGTGTGTGACCAGACCTGCGTCTACCCCAGGTCTCACAGCAAACACAGGCCTCTTTGTTTGAATTCCCCAAGCTTAGCTTTACCCCCAGCAAGCTGATCCAGGCCCAGAGGCAACTCCCTATGTGGAGGAGTGTTCGGGGCTCTCCGCACACTGCATGGGTCTACACTGGCAGCTGTGCAGGGGAACCAGGAGGCAGATTCTCACGTTAATGTCGATGTCTGTTACAGTTGATGGAGAAGAACACAATGGCATTCTCCATGGAGTTGCAGCTTAGAAGAACAAGATGTGGGAAATTTGATGAAGACATTGACAACTGTCCCTTTCAAGCAAGTTCAGGGCAGAACAATGTAAGACACACAGCAGAACCCTGGGGTCACACAGCTGAGGATGCAGCTTGGGACAGACGTGGAGGTGAAGCAGATGACAGTGCCATTCCTAGGGACACAGGCGA